GCACGCGCCTCCCGACCGGGAGTATAAGTATGTGTGATGCTTGTCCTCGCTGATGTGGTGTAGCTGCAACTTGAGCTCGAACTTGCGGAACCACGGAATCGGGTCCGTCTTCGTCGAATCGCAGAAAATCTCCTGATCATCGAACCTTGGAGTCGTCTTGCACGGTGTCGAACTCGGGTTGGCAGCGGCAACACAGATCCGCTGCTCCAGTTGTCGCGTGGCGGTTTGCTGTAGCTGCGTGTCATCCTTGAGGGCTCCGACGTCGATCTCCAATGCATTGAAGCGATCGGAGGTGTTGGAGGAGCTGGCATCGGGGGCGGCGACGGGTCGTTGCTCCAGCTGCTGGAGGTGGCTGTTGAGTTGAGCCAACGCGTCGTGGAGGCTGTGGATGTCCTCCTGCTATGTAATGCATATTGCCAGGAGATCCGTGAGATGGGAGAGGAGTAGCGCGATCTTGCTTTCACTCTCTTTCATCTTATCATTCTCAGCCTCGGCCCGCCAGTCCGCTGCCATTGTGAGCAAAGCTCGCTCTCCGTTGAATATCTTCGCGCGTCGTTGAATTCGTTCTCCATCGGCAGCCTGTGCTGCTGCCTCGTCTTGCTGGCGCTGCTGTTCGATTGCCAACAGACGTGCCTTCTCGACGTCCTCCGCCTTCTTCTTTGCTGCGGCTGCGTCCGACCGTTGCTTGACTTCGGTAATCAGAAGCAGCATCCTGGCCTGATAGGCCTCGTCCGTTTCCCCGGGCTTCTGATCCATGCCGGCTGTTTGTAAGCACATGAGCATAGATCAGGCCGGAGGACTGCTGACGCGGCACTCCCTGCTGCTGACGTGGCGCTTCTCGGTTGCTGATGTGGCGCAGCTGTCGGCTGATGTGTCCTGCTGACGTGGTCTGTTGATGTGGCCTGCTGATGTGGCAACTTACCAATGCCGCCGCAGGGGGTACCCGGAGACAGATACAGAAGATAAGACCAGAGGGGGCAGCAACATAGGTGGGGAGGGGTGGGTGGGATAATCGCCCAGATAAGGAGCCACTAGTCAAAGAGAAAAGTTTGAGCTTTGCAAAAAAATTCGAGAAAAAGAAAAAAATAGTAAAATACTCGTTTGCAAGTTCAGTAGGCCTCCCAATTCCCCCTGAAGTGCGAAATTACCCTGAGGAAAAAATTTTGAACTTTCAGACTGCAAATGATTGTCCGATAAGAGAATTCCGAAAATAAAAGACAAAAAATATTCAGAATTACTCAGATAAGAGTACGTGCAGTTTGGAAAATGATAACTGCGAGAGGGATTTCCCGTACCCTTTTTTTTTTGTTTTTTTTTTAACGAATTTCGGAAATTAAAAAAATATTCCGGATTTCTAAATAATGGGAAATTGCAAAAGGAAATCGAAATTTTCAAAAAAAAGATATTCCGGATTTCCAACAGCTAAATTTCGAATTTTCAGAAGAAAAACGAAAACAGATATTTCAGGTGTTGCGCTATTGCGATTTTCCACAACAGAAATAGCATGAAAACAAAATCCAAGAAAAGAAAAAAAAAATTGATTTTCGGCAGTGAGGTCAAAATCGTGTTTTGAGGGCTAACCAGTGTGCTCTAATCAATCAATCAATCAATCAAGACTAATCAACTAATTAGTCCCCGCACACGTGTCAGATCAGGTTGTCCTGATTCACATGCGGTGCTCCAATACCAACTGTTACATGCCCAGTTGGGCGATGTACATATATAACCAAGGATCCGCAATGTGATAAAAAGGACTGAATGGACAATGCAGTGCTAGTGAAATCTCAACAAGCAGTGTACATCCTGATACATACAAAAATGGTGCTTTACAGCGCAGTGGAAGACTTAGATACAAGTCCTGACCTGACCGGGACTGACCTCTCTCACGTAGTACAAGACAGCGCAGCAGGAATGCTAGAATACCAATGACTAGCCCAATCAATGTCCCAATGCAGACCAAACATACATCATCCTTATCACAAGGTGTGAAGGGGCCTGGTGCTACACACAGGAAGAAGGCGCCAGGTCCAGACATGCACAGACGAAGAGGAGGGAATCAGACGAAGAAGAGGGGAGAGATGGGAATGTCGTTAACACCAAGTCTTCGGTACAAGTCCCAGATAATCCCTCATCAAATGTATGAAGCCCAATGTCGAGTCTGGATCCAAATGTCACCAAGCCCGCTCTCTCGTAGTCTGCTGATGCAGTGAAGTCAGGTAGCGAGAGGGTGAGAGGGAG